GTGGATATGGATGTTCCTCTGAGTATGAGTGCTGAAGCGAGTGTTAATCATCTTTTCAATTCCATTTACACCTACACCCTATTTTTCTTATCAAGAATAATATCTTGAATGATTGTACCTAAAAAGAAAATATAATAATTCAGAGAATTTTTTTTTCAAATGAATAGAGATTAAAGTTCAATAACTTAGAATAATACAAACAGATATCGAATATTGACTCTGAATTTGAGGAAAGATTTCCGATTGTTTTTGAGGGTAGGGGATACTAAATTCTCATATACAGCTTGATTACGTTATTTTTGATAGTCTTGCTCAATTTGGTGTATTTATACAAAATCTCAGAAGTTTCTCGTTTTGATATAGTTGGATAGAGCATTGATTACTCTATCAAATTGTGCAGTTTTTATTTTGTTTACTTTTAAGCTCGTCCAAAAATTTCATACGTTTCGAACTGTTGTGGTCAACAATTTTTACATCCAGCAATTTTCAGACAATATCTCAGGTATTTTTTTCGATAATTGCTTTTTACTGAGATACTGGAACTTATAATTTTTATATAGAATAATAGACCGCTATTTTCTCTAGCGAATTATATATTTTTCACTGGACTTATGCTTGATCTTTAATATTAACTAGGTAAGTTTTCTGAGAAATGTATTCCTAAACTTATTTCATATAATGTTCTCAACTTTTGTTCAAAGAGATTTTGCTTATTTAAGCGTCTAATTTCTTTTCGTTGATATATAGCTACATAGTGTTGATTCTTCTATCGATTTATATAACTTTGATTCGATTTACATGGAGTTTCACAGTTGGATTTTTTGCAAAAAGTACTATAAACTTGATTTTTCATAAGTTCACAAGTAGATCAAATTTTAGCAACAAAATTTAATTTTCTCCTCAGTCTCAAATCAGTTTTGTTTTATTTTTTTGTACGTCTGAGTTTGATGATTCTCTTTCATCTAAAGCAATTTTCATTATTAATGCGTTTAGTCGAATTGAAATATTAGTATACAAAAGTTTTGTTCTGACAGTTGCTGGAATCGATCAAATTTTTGAACGAAGTGCAAAATAAATAAAATAAAAACTGTATGATTCGATAGAGTAAGTGATGATCTATCCAACTATATCGAAATATGAAATATCCAAGATTTTGCATAAATACAGCAGAATGAACAAACCTCTCAAAAATAACGTAATCAAACTGTACACGGTGTGATTCTCAACTATTACGAAAAATTCCATCAGATTAAGAATATACTACTTTGAAAGCAAAGCTTTTTATCGTTCGTCTCATTCTATAAAAAATATCGTTAGCATCTTTTAAGATAGATAAAAAAAAATATTTTCACTAAGTCGTTGTTGGGATCGTCCAACTCCTGAACAAGAATATTTACAGAATATAATACAAAATTTTCGATTTTCAGAGGGAAAAAAACAATAAAAATTCCTTCATATCGGAAGTAGTTACTCTATACGAGAAAACATATTGCACTTTCTCTACCAATAAGAAACGAACAGTTGCCAAGCTGACATCTGAAAACACTCTACACGTGCATATGCCGCCTCTTTGCTCATGTTTTCACCATATGCGATCAAACAAAAACAAGAAGAAAAAAAACGAAAACATATGTGTAAAAGAAGTTTCTTTTACATCATCATCGATTAAATGTTGAATGATTACCGGACTTAAACTGAGTGTCTTCAATAATTTAACTTCACTCCAGTGATGTCTATTCATATCTGTTCGATTTTTTTCCAGTCGAATTAATGCATGGCATTTTTCATTATCTATGGGCACATGAAATTGTCTATGCATTTGCTCAGTTAAGTGCTTATATAGATAGCGTTCTTGTGAGTTACGATCAGTATTCAATCAGTTTGTCGTCTATGCTTAAATATCAATTTGATCTTATATGTTGCCTTATCTGACCAGAACAAATTATCTCTATCACAATTGCTGAAAACAATGATACGCCAAATCAATCGAACGTGTTCTTCGCAAAATTCGATATTCAACAATTCATTAATCTTCGTTCATTTTCTATTAGCTCATTGGATCAGAGTATTTTCAGACTTTTGAATATTTTGTGTCAATTTAACAATTTTCAATCGTTGACTTTGCCCCAAATTTCATAGACCAATTGGTGTCTTTTCTGATTTCATGTAGAAATAATTCTACCTCAATTGAGACAATTGGTTACAAACAAATATTCATTAACGGAACTATTGAACAATTTGAAATATTTAACAACCACACATTGTTATTGTGATAATTTAGAATACTTATTATGTCAAATGGCGAAGTTACGTTCATTGGATATCACTGTCTCTTAATGATTCTACGAATTGGTCCAAAAAATGCCAGAAATGAATCATCTAAGACGGCTCTAAGATTAGGTTTTAAAAAAATCGTATATTATCTTTTTATGTTAATGATAAGATGGTCGATTGACGATGAATAAAATGGTGTCAAAAATGTATTGTTTAATGCATTTTGAACTTCGAATTGATGATGCAATAGATGTTGTCGGTGGTGAACAGTAGAAAAAATGGTCTCGACATTTAAATGTCAATATTGAACATGCGAAGGATATAATCGATGGCCATCAATGGAAATATTTAGTATCACATCTTCGTACATTCGATTTTGGTGTCTGTCTCTCACATAAATTCGACAAACAGATTCTTGATTCATTTCGAACAGCACTTTAGCTCGAACAAAAACAATGACTGATTGCTTATGATCATCGTCAATTGCTACCGTGTCTCTTTGCCGAAGAACATCATTTATTCGTTGGACTATTGTACACCATTGTGCACATCATCTAATATATATGTCTTGATCAATTTGTTGATATTCTCGCTTTGTCTATGCTCCGTCCATCAACACATCATCTCATCAATACAACAACGCTAATACTCCAAACAGACGACAATCTTAGCTTAGTTAAAGTTCTGCCATATTTAAGATTACCTCATTTACAGTCACTTGCATTGGTCAATGAGTCATTAGTGACTCAACTGTTAACAAAAGCAGTGTTTGAATCAATTCGTTCATTGACGATAGATACAATAGTGATGAAATCTCATGCTGAACAAATGTGCATCGTATTTCCACAATTAGAACTTTTACAAATCAGAATCAATGATCAAGACACAATATCATTGTTAATTGATGGATTGAAATATTTATCAATTTCACTATTTGTTTATTGTCAAGCAACGTCTCTTCAATCCTTGACACATGAATGGTTTGTTCAAAACTCGTTACGATTGACAACAAACAATAATTTTACATGTCGTGTCAAGAACGATAAAATACATTTATGGATGAGTGGGGATGTTCCGAACGGAGAGAGCGGTCGAGAGATAATCCTGTTCCAATCTTCGGAAATTTTGTTTTCTTTACTTGATAATTGGCGAAATTCTTTAAGAAATTGTAAAAAAAATTTCGAAACAACGTCGATCCTCCCCCCTAAAATTTTAGCCACTTCGGAACATCTGTTTGAATGAGTGTCGTATAGCTGTGTGCTGCTCTCAGTGTAAATTGAACAAAATATTGAGATTTTTTTACTGTTTTGTCGATTGTGTACTTTTTCATGGTGGAGGTTTTCTTTCTTATCGTCAGTTTACTCCTTATATCTATCCTATTCAAGCTAAGCACACTCTAAAACATTAAACGTATAATAATTTTTGTCAAGATTTTATTACTAATAAAAATACCATTAATGAATAAAAGTATAATGGAGTTTAATTGTTTAGATGACAAAAGAGCGTGACTGTGATTTAAGGGAAAATCCACATCCATGCTCACAATCTGATCAGCACATGCACAATAAATATCTTCCGCATGAGCAAAATTTAGTCGGTGAGACAGCACGCATAGGAACTATAGCATCCGTATTATTATCTGTTAACCACCAATTCCAATTCAATCAATACATGGATATAAATGGGTGTGAGTCTGAGTATGAATGTTGGCATTAATTTCACACCCACACTCTCTAGTCAGATTAATTGAGAATTTGTTTTCGAAAAAAACGATGTTCAGCTGAATAGAGTTAATAATAAAAAAAACAAGAATGACTAATGAGCTCCAATATACTGAATTAATATTGATCACATCAAGTAGCTTAGTCATCTCGAGAGAAAAACAATGAATAATATGGAACATTATTTTTCTGTTTTTTTTGCTATCCAAACGGAATGTGTAGTAAGAGAAAGACAAGACTCAAAAAATATGTTTTTGATAAAAGAAAATGATATAAAGAAAATATATTACGGCAAAAAAAGTTTTAGGAGAAAAAATTTTTGATTTATGGAAAAGTATGAGTAATTGATAGAATGACAAAATCAATACGCACAGCCAAAATCTATGAAGAATTTATCGTTCTCTGTGTTTATTTCTTTACATGTTTTTGTTTGACTTTCGTCATGCACAATACCAGAATAGTAGTGTAAAAGCATCTTTAGAACTTTCTCTTCCTGTAAAACTATTACAAAATATTTTCAATTTTTCGAACCAATAATGTTTCTTTTTTCTACATTGAGAAAAACAATATGATAATGATAATCAACAGGTTGTTCTTTTTCGAGATACAATAATGCACAAGTTCTTCAAACCTTTTAAGAGAACGATGCGAATAGATGAATCTATGAAAACTTCTGAAACAAGACATAGCTCACCAAAAGTTACGTGGAAATATGAATTGTCATTAGATGAGATACGAAATTCATTGGTCAAATCTACTTTTAAATTAGTACCGACTGAAGTGTTATTGCATATATTTAAATATTTGTCTGTATATGATTTGAGTAATGTTTCATAGGTTTGTCGTTCATTTAAAATGGTTGCCGACCAGAATGATATTTGGAAATAAAAATGTAAATGTAAGTTCAATCATTTCGTTTTTTTTCTTCATTTGATTTATAATTATTGTTGTTTAGCATCGACAGAATTACATTTAAAACCATTGAAACAGATTTATATGGACTGGATGTATGAAAAATATCTACGAAACATAGAACTGGAAGAAGTCGAAGCTCTTTATCGTGAACAAAGTTCGCATGTTGCTTGTGGAATAAGATGTCCACCACCACAGTACCCTATTCGATCAGCAGACAAACATCACATTGTGCGTATCGGTGATTTCAAACAACATCCAAATGAATCCGAAACAATGTAAAAGAAAACTTCGAAGAGTTGGTATACAATATAGCACATATCTCTTTATTTGTGATATAATTAGTTCCATTAGACATTTAATCTAACCAAGTCATAGTCAAAAAAAACTACTTGGAGCATCATTCTATATCAGCAATGCGTTATATTGAACACAAACAAAATTCATGAAATACATTGAATATTTGCTGTTGTTTTTTTGTATAGGTCTATCGAATTATCCGTTGATGTTGATAGAACAGCTCTCGAACTCATATCATTATTGGAAAAAGCATCTCAATGTCAAACTGAATGGCGTCAATCATCAATCATAAAACAAATGATAACAAGATATTATCGTTTTATGCAACTGAAAGCCTCTTGTTCAAATAATATTCTACTTATCGCAACATTAGATATTGAAATAATTTGACAAACTCATCTTCTACGACCGGAAATGTACCGAGAAGATTGTATGAGATTATTTCATCGAGTTATCGATCATTCTTTACTGACAGCTGAAATGGAACAATTTTTAAAAGAACAAGCATTTTTTGATATTTGTAAACTATATGAAGAACGATTTGGGGAACAATATCGTCCATTACCAAGAGTGAAAATCTGTGTTATTTCAATCTATGCATATTGGGATGAAACACATTTTACGTTTTCAGCAAAATCATCGACTAACTCTTATGAAAATCCATTTGCATTTACTGAAGCCGATATTATTCTTGATGGAAATTCGCTTGATTTATGTAAGAAATTTATGAAAGAAATGTTGTCAAAAATTCCTATTAATGATTATTATCGCAAATCCAATAAAATCGATCTCAGTACACAAGCTATAAGGAGACTAAAAAAATCTTATGAACGATTTTTATACATGACAACTAAATATCTACCAACAAATGGATATTCTTTTATACATCCAACATATACTGCAATATGATTTTCTATTGAATGCAACAAAGAATTTAACCTAATTAATAGATTGATATCATTTGGCATTCACATATGCAAGAACCATTGAAATATACATTGGATTGTATTCGTCTTGTTGGTCATATTGTTCATCATACTTCATGGCCATCAGTTGATGAACATAAAATGAAAAAATCGTGTGAGGATACAATAAATAATTGGAAAAAAGAATTTGAAAGTGATATTTCAACAGATCATTTATATAATACTGCTAGAGATAGTTATGATTATTGGAATGATTGAATTCATCCAAACGATTTCAGATATTTTTTAAAGTTACTCATTAAATAAAAGTTATTTCTTGCTTTAATAAAATTCACAAAACTACACGCAAAATTATCAGTTGAATGTGTGCAGTTTTAAAGATTCAAGATCTACAAACAATCTTAGTCATATAGATTTCAACAATGTTTATATCATTCAAATTGCAAATAAAATTCCAATATTTCACTATTGTTCTTTTAGAAGGATTGCGAATTACTACTATTATTTGTGTTCATGTGTGTTAAATATTGTACTTCTATCAACAAATTAGACTGATTAACTATTTTATTCGTATATATTCACTAATAATCGATCAACCATAACTTCAGTACAATTGCAAAACAATGTTAAAAAGCATAATGCTAAGCGCCACAAGTGCTCAAAAAAAATCGAAATAGGCGATTTTCGCTCGTTCTGTTCTAATTTCGAGCCCTAGCAAAGTTCGTTCTATGGGACACTCATTTTCGAGTTCACGGATATATTTCGACCACTCAAAGAGAAGAAACCTATCAAATAGATACCTTTGATTGCTCAATTTAATTTCAAGCGCTCAAAATTTATTGACATTTTGTGTACTCGTAGAGAGGAAATCTGTCGAAAAACTAGTTTTGATTGTTCGGTAAAATTTTGAATATTCGACACTTTTTCTTCATCGTCTGAATTTTGACAGACTCCTCATTGCTATTCACTGATATTACCGAACTTATGTATGCTCGACATGAAATGTGGGTATGGGCACGAAGAATATGCTGAAACCGACGCCCACACCCCACAAATTATCTTCGATCTTTTCATGTCATCTATACGAAAGGCGCTATGTATAGAGAGAGGAGAATTTCTTTTTCCTTTTCGCCAATATAACTGATCTTATTAAAGAGAGTGAATGGCGTTGTGAAAATAATTAAATGGATAGATTTCCATTTGAAAAAGAATAGTTATCATGTGATTATTTTCTTGAACACAACGAGCCAATTCTATCGAGACTGCTCGATCAGTACTCGTGGACAAGAAGTTATTGAATGATAAGAGACCATATTTGCTCTTCTTCATTTTCTCAAATTCAGCATGCAACATACCTTGTCCATAATAAAATTTCAACGGATGACAATGTGCTTTCGAATGCAGCTGTTCAATTTATCAATGAGGATTGCGAACAAAAACCTCATCTTAATAATCACTTCGATATATCATGTACGTAGGCTTTATATTGAGCACTACATAGATGAAACGCTTTCGAGTGTACCATCATATAGGTGATGGATGAGAACTGTTTCATTTGAGTTCACTGATCACTCCAATTTCTATATCATCATTCTCAAAACAAACACGACAAAAATCAGCAAGCTCTTTATTTTTTTTTGTTATCAGATTTGTTTCCGAGAAGAATATCTTTGAAAAGTTGAGAATATATGAATGATGGGTCGAGTTCACCGAGATCGATAGTTGAAGATGATGAGACAATATTGATGAGTGTGAGATCGATCTTAAATTAATGAATATCACATTTAAATGCGTCACATATAAGTTTAATGTGTGTGAAAGCTTCTTTCACTTTATTGCATTGTTGGATCCATTGTTCAGATTTGATCTTATCGACGCAAGATATATAGACAGATGAAAGCTGAGTCGTTTCTTTCCACGATCCGAGAAACGATGCATTGCCCGGGTTATCTAAGAGAACATAAGAAACAATTTTCTTCTTTTACTTGAGCAGTAAAGGATGTGGATGTGAATGTCTAGAGAATACTCACACACACCTACATCCACATCGGACTGTTTCTTTCACTGACAATAAGTAATAAATATGGTTCCTTGCCATTACCACAGTATGGATGACTTTTTTGTAATAACTATGTTGATGATGAATAGTTCTGTA